TCATTTATCAGTTAGCAAAATAGGAAAAAAAACTGATGAATTATGTTTTGGAAAAAATATTCCATATTAAATGTCAAGTCTGTATATATATATATATATATATATATATATATATATATATATATATATATATATATATTAAAAGAATATCTTAAATATATATTAGACCAGGCATTTAATGACGCTCCATCCAAAACGAATTTACTTCTTTCGAAATAATAATTGTCCCCAAGTGGGTTTCACAGGGTCGCTGATTAATCTATTTGTATTTAGGCATTTCAAGTGCAAAACGGACGGCATACAGTTTTCTATTGTGATCAGCACCCAGAAAACAAGGTAACAAATTAATTACGGCAACATGCTGCTGTTTCGCCAAACAAGAAGCAAAGAAGGGACACACCGCGGTGCTTATGTCGAAATTCATTCCTTTTCATATTCCAATACACGGTTAAATTCAGTTAGGTTTCTGTAACGAACATCTCTAGCTGTTGATCACCCTGTGAATCTTACTGACATCGGCGCTTACTGAACATCTTGCCAGTTAATAAGTAATAAATAACTCAAATATATCACAATTGATTGTCACTCAGAGGATAGCACCAAGTGTATGGCACCATTTACCCTCTTATCAATGACATTAGAAGTAAATCTTGTAATCATATGGCTGTTAAGTCTAGCAATTTTCTCTGTGTAAATTTCACCAGTTACTGGTGGATCATAACAAACGAAATAGATTCAATTTTTGAAAAATGTTATGACCAGGTGCTGGAAAAACACTTGTAAAACCCTAATATTAATTAAAATATTAATCTTAAATATTAAGTCATCCACAAACTATAGGATAACAATGCGTTTGTTTGTGATTATGCCAGGGGTTTTACAATTTGTCTCATTTAACGTTCACTTACGGTTCTCAGTCTATTCTAGAACATTTGGTGTGTGTTCTTTACAGTTCTAATGTTGTTCTTAAATGAATGTAACAGTTCTAGAACTATTTTTGGAAAGTCATTCAGAATGTCATAGGACAGATTAAGAACATTTTCACTAAAAGAGAAAAACATTATGTTCTAGGACAGATTGAGAACCGTAAGTGAGCGTTAAATGAGACAAATTGAAGGGGATATACACCCACCGCAGTGTCATGCCTTTAGGATGATAAAAGGTAAACATAGCCTCCCAGGATTATCATATGACAGCTGTGGTAAATGATCATTTAAGGCAGCTGCTGCATAGTTATACCAAGTTGAGTTTCTGAGGTCAGTAAAAATAAATAATTATAAAACCCATTTCAAATATGTTTCAATACTTAACACCAGGCTCGTGTGATTGTTATTGTTGTCATTGTTCTGACTTGTATGTTCTATTCAGTATGATTTACTGTAAATTTCGGCAATCTTTACAAAATCCTTTATTTGTCTTACTTATTTATTTGTTCATTTATTTATTTATTTTTAATTTTCATACCTTAATTACTAACCTCATTAAGGACATGGGGAAGATAAATGTTAAATTCAACATGTTTTCCCTCTAATAGATAACATTTAATAACCTCCCGCCCCCCCTCCCCCCCATTGCTTCACTATCATCTCCGCCGTCTCCACTCTGCTGAGATATGCTGAATACGCTGCTGAGCTTCCAGTAACCCCCTTAACACAAGATGTAAGTGCACTTTACCGGGTAAACAACCTTTAATCAAACTTCACGCGTGTCTCAAGAGCTGGGAGATAACTGATAGTGCAATGACTCAGACTGGGCCTGTGGTTATAAATGTGTATCCGTTGAAATTGACACATGTCATTAAAGATAACGCTAAACATTATAACACATTTATTGCGTATATTGAATCATAAAACGCCTGATAAAATACCTAATCGGTCCCGATTGTTCGTCCATATAAATGACGTCCCTTTGATATCAAAGCCAAGCTGCCCAGCTAGAGCTCACAGTCTAGCAAAACGCTTTAACGTGGACCTTACAGAAATCAAATATGTCAGCGTTTGTGATATTTGTGGCAATACTTTCTGTGGCGTCATCTGGAGCTACGGTGCAAAAGCTAGCAGTATTAAACACTGAATTTGGGTTGGCTATTTACAAGCAGTTGACCGCCGATCCAGAGGTTAAAGACATATTTTTCTCGCCTATTAGCATCTCCACCGCTTTGGTCATGCTACAACTGGGCACTAACGGCACAACTGAAGATCAGATAAACCGTGCGATGAAATTCGACACACTCAGCCAAAACGAGAACGTTGCTGCTCTTTTCCGCGACCTGAACGCTAAACTTAATAATGCAAGCAACAACTACACGTTGAAATCCGCCAACAGGTTCTTTGGAAGCAAACGTTTTCCATTTCGACAAACATTCCTTAGCGACATGCGAGACTATTTTAATGCAGAACCTGAGTCTGTGGATTTCATGGCAAATCCAGAAGGGTCTCGCGTGCATATTAATGACTGGGTAGGAAATCAGACAGATGATAAGATCAAAGAACTTATGGCAAAGGGAACAGTTACCAAAAGCACTGTATTTGTTTTGGCCAATGCCATCTACTTCAAAGGACAGTGGAATATGTCATTTAACTCCACTATGACATCTTCCTTACCTTTCAGAAGCAAAGGGCAGGAGGTAGGTCTGCCTACATTTTGGTTATTCATGCTAGTTTTTTTTTAAATGCTCACACGCCTAAAAAAAGAAAAAAAAAACAAACATTTTGCATACATATTATCCCGTATTACTTTTTACTTGAATATCTTTATTTTCTAGTATGACAGAGCCCTACTGTAGAACACTGTTTACACGACCGTCTCGGGTATTCGTTCTAATCTTCAGAAAAGTGATCACCTGAATATCATATTAATTATATTTCATAATATAGTTGCCAAATTAATTTCTGAATGCTTCTCGGAAGTACAACAACAAGTTTCAATACGGTGCGTTATTCTGATTTTAGGCAAAAGTTTCGATGATGAAAATGTTAGGCCAGACACACCGTTATGGTATAAGCACAAAATGGAACTGCCAAATACTAGAACTACCGTATACCGGAAATGTCAGCATGTTGGTCTTTCTCCCCAATGAGCCCGACGGCCTTCCTCAGCTTGAGAGTGCAATCAACAGTATCGAGCTTAACTCCCTGGTAAAAAATCTGACCAAAAGGCCAGTGGACGTCTATTTGCCCCGATTTGAACTCAAGGACGTTTCCATAAAGCTTGCGGACCATCTGAAGAAACTTGGTATGACGGATATGTTTGTTGACGGGAAAGCAGACCTGAGTGGTATAGGCGGTGCCCCAGGACAATTGTTCATATCTACAGCTGTTCATCAAGCATATGTTAAAGTGGACGAAGAAGGTCAGTGAAGAAATTTACAGTGTCACTTACCATTAAACATCTTTCTTTGAAAATATATCATTACTTCATTTTCGACTTTTCAAATCGTTAGTGTCCAATGACTGGATATAAAACTTGAAAGTAAAATAGTGCACGGTACTACATTGTACTACTTGGCATCATATCATGTAAAAACATAATATCGTATAATATCATGCCGAGGTTTATTGATAAAATGCCTGTCAATTCCAAGTTCTTGTATTGAATGAAATTGATGATATTTCTTTATAACAAAAAACAAATAAAACATACGGCCACAGGGTATTTTCAATTGCAGCACACATTTTATATATGGAATGGACTACCTTCACACATTCAGACTATTAATAGTGTTGAAGTTTTTAAAAAAGACTTGAAAACTAAAACGTGATACTTGAAATTATATATTTTCTCATATTATCAGAAAAAAGTTTTTTTGTTTAGACCATTACTATTATAACCAGCATTGATCATTTTAATTGTTTTATTCACCTAAGCTTTTATTATTTATATAATTACTTGTAATTCTGATAATTTTATTTGTAAACAACACTGAGCCGGTAGTGTAGTGCGGTTTTTAAGAAATAATAATAATAATAATAATAATAATAATAATTATTATTATTATTATTATTATTATT